AGAAAAAATAAAAATGATTGAGAATCACACAAATATGACAAAACATGGAATTAGACAAAAACATTGGGACGGACAAAAGGGTAAAATGGAACAAAAACAGTGTGACATAGAGGATAATATAAATGTGGTAAAACATGACTTACATGTTAAAAAATGGCAAGTTAGCCTTTAAAAAGTGGATTGTATATATGACAAATTAACTCATTAACCATCTCAATTAGAGGGTTTTCTTTGTTTAACAACTTGAATTTGTTCTGCAGGCTTGCGACAGCGGCGTCACGCCATTTGTGAGTATTGAGTTGCAATTTTGGGGTTGGACCAACCAAATAAATTTTACTGCAGTAAAAAGAACATACTAAATGCACACATTTTATGCCTCAATTGTTTGATTCCTTGCTTCTGATTCATTCAGGCAGTGACATTCCAAAATGGGAAAAACATAAGTGTAAAGAACTTATTATTCAAGAATTCCCAAAGAATGCACCTTGTTTTTTCAAACAGTGAAAGGGTTAGGGCCTCCAATATTGTGATAATCGCTCCCGAAGACAGTCCCAACACCGATGGAATTCACGTATCTCGTACTACCGATATCATAATCTCCAATTCTGTTATTGGGACAGGTAAAATACTTTCTTCGTCTCAAACAATATTCCAGAGTTTGACTCTCATGGTTTGTTTTAAAAATATTCAAACTTGAAAAATGTATAATTAAAGTTTGTTTAGAAGAGAAAAATATTGTGAGCCACGTGTTTATTACTAAATAAGAAGTATTGGTAGAGTTATGCTATAGGGAGGGGTTCAAGTGACATTAAACCCCAACGTCATACTATGACCCAAACTCTATTTAGAGTCCCTATTCCCTAAAGAGCCCCATTTAAAAAATTAATGGTTCATACCCCTCACTCCCCGGTAACCCGTGCCCCCGCATGACCCAACCCCACCCCCAACCCCATTCAATTACACCCCCAAATTTATTGACATTGCAGTTGAATTTTGACTCCAAAGTAAACTAAAATTGGAGGGAGGGGTGCAATTGAAAGGGGTGGAGGTGGGTTCAGGTCGGGCAGGGTAGGGGTTAAGAGGAGTAGAAACCATCAACTTTTCGAACCCCGAGCATGGGAACCAAGCCAATATAAGTAATCTTTGATTAGTTGTCATATTTGGAAAATAATTTTCCCTTTTAATCTCCATACTCTATGTGCATGCAGGTGACGATTGTATTTCAATAGTGAATGGATCTATGAATGTAAGAGTGTCACGCATAGTATGCGGTCCAGGACATGGCATTAGGTAAAAACTCTTAGATATGATTATTCTGTTTTTTTTAAAAAAAAATCAATCATGTTATTGATGAAGAGTGAAGACAATATAATGAGCCTTACTTTTTTATAGTATAGGAAGCTTGGGGAAACATGAAGATTTTGAGGAACATGTATCAAATGTTGATGTGAATACAGTCATGCTTAAAGGAACCACAAATGGAGTAAGAATAAAGACTTGGCAAGTAAGAGTTAACTATAAGAACCCATTCAATAATCTCAATATATAGACAAAAAGGTACTAATAACTATTTATGGTTTGTTTTGTAAAAAGGGAGGGAAGGGATCTGCAAGGAACATTAGGTTCGAGAATGTTGTAATGCAAAATGTGACGAATCCCATAATCATAGACCAATACTATTGTGATAAGCCAAGAGACAAGAATGGCAACAATCTTTCGTGTCCCAAGAAGGTACGTATAGTAAGAAAGTCCTGATCAATATTAAGTCTTGACACTGTTGTTCTTTAAATATCGGTTTTGGGTGTCATATTATGATTCCAGAGTTTGCAAAACTCTGTTGGACTCCAAAGTTGGCCTGGCAATTCTAGGAATCCAACCCCACTCTGCAATAGCTGATTTGCTAAGTTGTTAGAATGTTTCTGTGGCATATCAACAATTCCAGAAGTTGGGGGTTAGGTTGGTAGGACCCACTTCGGGGCCCAACAGAGTATCATAGTGCTCTCAAGTTCCCGCTATCACAATATAACATGCACCCAAGGTGGTTGTCGAAAGAATCTAGCACCAAGTCTTAGTGGTTAGTTTAAACTCTAGATTATTTCATGTAATATACTATAGAAAAATACCAAGTGTACCCTAACTTTGACACCATTTTTGACAATATGTCTTACATATATACTCACAGACATTTGGCATTGTTCTATGTCTGTATATCTGCAAGAAGAATGGTGTCAAAAGTGATGTCAAAGTTGAAGTACCGGAAACATAATTCTATAATATAATGTTTCTCATTATATTTCTGATGGCTGATACATAGAAGGAGGCAGTGCAAGTAAGCAATGTGGTATATAGAAACATTAGAGGAACAAGTGCAAGAGAATTGGCCATAAGATTCAGGTGTAGTGAGATGGTTCCATGTGAAGGGATTTTATTGGAAAATGTGAATTTGATCCGAGAAGGGAATCATGTTGCTAAGGCAGAATGTTCAAATCTTAAGTATGCAACGGAGCGGCATGTTTTCCCTATGTGTCAAGACAATTACGTTTTATCCCCCTCTCCTTTTTGAGTTGACATACTATATACGGAGTATATGTATGATTCTTTGCACATATATAAACACATTTATACATGATGAGGTCGTATTTGTACTCCTTCCGCGCGCCCCATTGTTTTTGTCACATTCAATGTATTTGTGTCATCCACTATTCACACTCAAATCTTAAGTGTGCAACGGAGTGGCATGTTTTCACATCTTGATTTGAAGAACTTTTGATAAATTCAATTGAAAATGGTTTCAACCAAACATTGTAAATTGCAATTGAACAAAAATAGCGGGACGGGGGAATCAATGTACGAGGTATTCATGAATCGCATCTAGGCTTGTTCTATGTTGTTCGATATGGCTCGGTTCCTTTGACACCTAGCTCGAGTGTCATAAAATGACACCGCATGTTTGGGGAGCCTAGGGTACCCCATTGTCACCGATATTGAACAATGGGGCTGATGGTGTCAAAATAGAGGTGGCTGGAGACGGGGCTAGGGTTGGGATGAGGGAGGAGGGCTCCATTAACTCAATGAACATGTTCATATAAGTTTTTTTTATCATTAAATACTCTGCAACAGCATGAAATTAAATGCTATCAAATCCAAATTTTTTACCATTAAAAAAACCCCAAATTTCTTGGAAGCACAATTTCAAACAGCAATCAAATCCAAATTTTCTAGAAATAGAGACAGAAACATGCACCACACAACCGGAATAGGAGACCGACGCTGATAATTCCGGCGATAGCTAATCGCTGCAACGGCGACACAACGAATGGCTGGTGCGACTCAACGGAGCGGTGCCTTCATCTTCTCGGCGGGTCCAATTTTTGCTGCACTTGTTTGTTTCAAAACCTTAGAAGCTGTTGAAATCAACTACAACCTCTAGGAAAACTTCTCTTGTTTTAATTTTTTTTAATCAAACAATCATATACTTTGATTATAAATTAGATATAATTTGAATAAATAAACGTTATAAAATTTAATATATCAAAACAATATCCTAAAATGAATTCAATAATATTAAATTACATTAAATTTAATTATACTTCTTTTACAATTTGTGATAAAAAAATGTGTTAGATCAAAAAAATCAAATTAAAAGAGATTTTTCGAGACAGATGTATTATTTAAAAAAAAGGATAACCCCAACCCGAGGACCCCTCAAAATCAACAACACGCTTATTTAAAAAGAGATAAATTGAGCGTTAATCACATGTTTGAGGGCAAAGAATGACATGTGCATCTAAATAACCGATACTTTCTCTTGAAAATCAACTATTAATTGATGAGGAGAAAAGCGACTTCGCTTTCCGATACCGTTTTCATAAGGATATTTTTCTACAACCATACTAGGTGTACACCTAAGGTTGTACCCCAAGTTATACACTATAAAATGACCCTAAATAGAACTAAAACATAGAGAAAAGTACAAAAATAGGACTTTAATGTTTTTTTCCTGAAATAGGACTTTGCATTGTAGTAATGTGACTTTGCACTGTGGTAATGTGGCAGTGTACATGTGCACATTACTATACTTTTTTGGTAATGTATCATGGTAATGTAAGTCATATTTCGGGAATAAAAACATGGAAGTCCTATTTTGGTATATTTTCAATGTTTTAGTCCTATTTTGGTCTTTCTCCATATACACTACATATGTGCACCGATAAATTGATAATTATACTGAAACAAAGTGCTAGTATGACCTAAAAATTTGCACTAGCATTTTGTGCTAATATGACATATCTCTCAGTGCATACTTGTGACGTACAACCCTTGGTGTATAAGTACCTTTATTCATTTTTCTATTCTTCATAATACAAAAAAGAATTTAAAAAGGAAAAGTGAAAATGAAAAAAATAAAAAGTAAAATATTACGGAGTAATAAAGATAATAATTAAAGCTTTCCTCATCCTCCCCTAACCAAACAAGGTGAAGGAAAACCTTGTCATCCCCTCCCAGGCTCCCATTCCTTTTCATTTATAATTTAATATGAAATTGTATTTTATAAAAATTATTTTTTAAATAATCCGAACAGAAAATGTCTAGAAAAAATAGATCCAAATTCAAACCAAGATCTAATATGAATGAGATTATTTTTTTAGACACAAGATCAAAACATATAGAAAATGGCTAATGAATGACGATTGGACTTTGCAAATCATATAAATAACGGGAAAAATATAAAGTAGGAGTAAAACATAAAGAAAATATTAAAATATGAGTTTCATATTTATGTTTCAAAATATAAATGAGTTTTGGGAGAAAAATGCTAGAGTCACAAACAAGAAAACGACAAAACTTACAAATTTACTATATTGAATTTAAATTTATTTTTTTTAAATTATTCAAGACTTTTTTTTCTTTTAATATGATTCATAAATTGTAAATTTCACTTTTTTTTAATAGGATTCATAAATACTCGTAGTAAATTTGTCTAGTACTATAGGCTTTCCGTTTTCCTCCATGCTATGGCCGTTTGCCCTTTTGTTTATGATAATTTCTACTCCATATTATTTTCCTCTTTTCCTGCCCCCAAATTATTGAATGTATGTTATGCTCCAATAATTGATGAATGTGTGGATGCGAAGTAAAGGAGAGAGTTAAAGGTTTGCTATTTGGCATTCTTCAATTTGCTTTACAGTTTAGGGTTTCCAATTTTAGGAAATGAATAGACCTTTCACAATTTGTCTGTGTTCGTTTGGGAGGGGAATGGGGTCGTTTCTTTATATGACTGTATACTTTTATTAACCCAATTCCTTCTTAAGTCTGTGGTTAGAGGCACTTTAAGCTGGAGATTGCATGAAGCGTACATGTGCTGCAGATTATTTTCTTTTTTCATGTGATTAAAGCTCCTGTTTGGAAATGGTTTTTGTGTTAGTCGTTTGAGTAGCTGTTCCCAAAAAAGCTTGAAAAATGAGATTTTTGTAAACCAAGTTTGAAAGACAATTGTTCCAAAAGCTCTAAAAAGTTGCTGTGAATAGTTTTAGGCCTTGATTAGCGACCAACTTTTAGCTGTTAGAACTTAGTTAGAAGTTAGTGGTGGCGTTAGCTGAATGACTAGATGGTTGGGTTTAGCTATTTGAGTCAGTTGTTTAAGAAAGAAGTGTTTGGTAAGGTAAATTGTTTGTGTGAGTAGGGGTTAGGCTACGTACATTTGACCCCGCAATAGGCAAGAGCCTTTGAGCCGTTTGAGGCACTGTGGCAATGTTGTTGTTAGTTAGGTAAACTGTTTGAGATTTTAGGGCAATATGATGCCAAATCTGGCCTTAATTTTTCAGTCAACTTTCTCTTGAAAATGGGCTTTTTGTGGTAAAAGATTGGTCAAAAAACTATTAAAAGTGTTCGGTGAGCCGTTTCTTTAAAGCAAGTTTTTGGTCCCAAAAAGCTCGAAGCTTGTTTCTCGAGCTTTTTGAAGACAACTTTTTTGGTCTACGACCTTTTACCTTTAAAACCTCAAATTGTTGATGCAACCAACTCATCTTACCAATTTTTTTTTAATAAGTATCACAAATAGATGACACTAACATCAATCCAAAGACCTTCCTCAAGCAGCTCATACAAACATCCAACAACAAATAGAACTGTGTGCCAAACAGGATCGTTGACAAAAAAATTTATCTCTTAAATTTTGAAAAACAAGCTTTTCATCAACTGCTTTTTTGGGATCAAAATTTATTTTCAAACAGTTGTTTACCAAACGCTTTGATAGCCATTTGGCCAATCATTTACAAGCTCTTTTTTTAGAGAAGGCTCTCCAAAAATCTCCTTTCTAAACACCTCCTTAAAAACAAGCTCTTTGTGAACCGCCTTTTGGGACTAAAATGCTCTTTACCGAACACTTCTTATAGTTTTTCTATAGCTCAAAAGCTCTTTTTTCACAAAAATCCTCCCAAAACTTCATTGACAAGAACCCTGGAACCCAAAGAGTTATTTAAAAAAATGACCAATGTACCATGCTGGACTTTTACAAACAGTATAGGGTGGATGTCTCAGCAGACAATTCAGATTGTCCACAAAAAGCAACACTCATATAGAAGCAAAAAGCAAATGGGTTTTTGTTCATTTCACAGTACATACCATTCTCATCTATTGTTAAATGTTAACCTCTCCTCCCTTCACCATCCTCTCACAATAAAATAAACAAGCACAGTAATTGGAGGATAGAATAAATAAAGCATTTGCTAGAAGAATGAGAAAAGGTGATGAGCAGGCACCTAAGAGTGGTGAAAAGAAACAAAGTTTTAAGAGAATTTGTGTTATCTGTGGTAGTAGAACTGGTTATCGATCATCTTTCAGTGATGCAGCTCTCCAACTTGGAAAAGAACTGGTAGTAATTGTGTGATATGCAACATTCCAAACATGGCTTCTTATTACTCACTCCATATGGTTCACGATAAGTATCATTCGGAAGCTGGCAAAAGTTTGTTTTACCATGTCTGTCATTTTGAAAAAAATAATGTTTTCACCCTTCTTTAAGACCACAATGCACATTTAATTGTTTTAGGAGTGAGTTTGAAGTGTGTGGTAGTACTTTAATTACAGGTTGAGAGAAAAATCAATCTTGTTTATGGCGGAGGAAGCGTTGGCTTGATGGGGTTAGTCTCTAAAACAGTTTTTGATGGAGGGCTTCATGTTCTAGGGTACCCTTCATCACAATGTTTTTCTCTTCACATCACACAGTTTGTGTCTCAAATATTATGAGTTCAGTTTCTCATTATTCTTCTCCCTTTCATTAGAGTAATTCCCAAGGCCCTCTCTCCGCGTGAGGTACTATTTTATACATTCAAGGAAAAGTGGAGACTGACTTAAACTCTCTAAACTTTCTGCTTAGTCCTTATACAAAACAATTAAGGGGTCCAACGTCAATCGGGTCCTTTTTAAAGGCTCGGCGTTGTTATTGCTTATTAGATGGTTTAACCAGCACCTGCATGAGGTTTACTCATATTACAGATATCAGGAGAAACTGTTGGAGACCTAAAAATAGTTGCAGGCATGCATGAGAGGAAGTCAGAAATGGAAAAACACGCCGATGCTTTCATTGCACTACCTGGTAAATCATCTAACCACACAGAAAAGTTGTAAAAACACACACACACACACACAAATCATGAAATGCATATTTTCATGGACTTGAATATGTGTAGGTGGGTATGGGACTATAGAGGAATTGTTAGAAGTGATAACCTGGTCTCAATTGGGAATCCATGAAAAGCCAGTATGATTTCCTTTTATTTACTCCGTTAGGATCCGGGGAATGAATTTTCCAGCAACAATTTATTTGCAAATTAAATGTTTGGACAGGTGGGGCTGTTAAATGTGGACGGCTATTATGATGACCTGCTTGCCTTTTTTGACAAGGGAGTGGAGGAAGGTTTCATAGATGATTTAGCAAGATGCATTGTGGTCTTAGGTGACACTGCAGAGGACTTAATTACAAAAATGGAGGTACATGTTCTCTAAAATCTCGCCTAGCTACTCAGTGTTTTGAAAAGGCTATAAAGACATCGTTTAACTTCGCCCTTTCAATGTTAATCAGCACCAATAAACAATAATTCACAACACACTAATTGAAAGTGTAGTTCCCAAATGAGGCCAAAGTAAATAAACTTACTTGCTTGAAATTGGCATTACCAAGTGATATAGAGCTTTTATGAATAAGAGAAATGGTGGAAAATGAGCAATTTGATGCTCTCATTAGTCATTACATCTCATATTAATACGGAGTAATATAAGTAGTGTTTCAAGTAGAGCTTTCAACCAAGCAAGTAAGGTTGGGGTATGAGTCAGGGCCGGATCAGGGATGCTTGTTCATGACTAAGAGTGCTTGGGTTTGTGTTAAACAAACATATTGGGGGCATTTATTTTATGATATATTTAAATACATATATTAACACTTGTATTTTGCGTAAAAAAATTAATTTTTTTGACAGAACACAATAAACTTAATAATTTAATTATATTAATGTAACTTGTTATTATGTTATTATGGAATTTTATTTTCTTTTACAATTTTATTTAGTTTTGAGATTAATATAAAATTATTATTGAAAATTACAAATTTTTTTAATTACGGATCATATAAAAGTATTAAAAAGACAAATGACAATAAAATATAGTAAAATAATACTCCCTCCCTCCCACAAAAAAGTTTCCATTTTGAATAGTATTTAGTCAAATATTTACATGCTTTGATTACAAATTGTGAGAAAAGTATATTGAATTATAAAATAAATTTAATATAATTGGATTCATCTTAGAATCTATTTTTGATATCTCAAATTTTTTTAGCATTTCTTTATTTAGATTATATTTAATTTATGGTCAAAGCATGTAACTCTTTGACCAATTTATGGTCAAAATGGGAACTTTTTTGTGGGACGGAGGGAGTAGTTAGGAAAGGAAATATTATACATTCAAATGGAGTAATAAGAAACTAAGATGATAGAATGGTTTTTATCACTTTTATATGTGATACTCCCTCCAACCTTATAAAATAATTTGGATTAACATTGCGGGTTTGGATGCAGTCTGGTTTGACCCAATTTTAACGGGTCATTTTGGGTTCGGTCACTTTCCGGTCGGGTCTAAATTTGACACCATGGAGACTGGAGAGAAGTGTGGGGGCAATAATTGTAGTGGTACTTTATTTTTGTTGTATTGCACATTCATTGCAGGAGTATGCACCAGTCCACAAAAGAGTAGCAACCAGACAAAGCTGGGGAATGGGCCAATCATTGGAGTGTACTTCAAGTGGGGGAAAAT